GACCTCATCTTCACTAAGGTGTAGTCGGAAGATGTGAAGACTTTCTGCTGATATATAAAAATATCAGCACGGCTAAACCTGCTCCCATTGATAGATCAAACAAAGACAATACACACTGGGGCTGCAGTCAGAAGATTTGGAAACAAGCCGTTCTTTTGATTCAGCTGAGGTGTTAGTGAATGAAGCAGACTGTGCATTGTGTTGAGGGGAAGTTGTAAGTGGGAGTTGTTACCTCCTGGCCGGTCACCAGCAGGATACTGTCTTCCTTTCCATGTTGCACTTGTCTGAAAATGTGATCCAGGACCAGAAGTTCTGACCAGCTGTTATGGAGCAGCTTCATTTGATCTCCCACCTTCAGACAGACAGACAGATAGAGAGAAGAGGCAGATGAACAAAGACAGCAGAGACAGACATCTTCTTATGTCTACAATCTGAGAGTAATTCTGTTCATACAAATCTCACGGCTTTTTCTTTTCCTTCTCTTTCTTGGCGTAACACTGAAAATCCTGATAAGTTCAGACATGTAAATAGTTGGGATTATTCATCTTTTAGTGTCTCTCACAGCTTCTGCACTCACCTTGGATGGAGGAAATCAATAACCTCCTTTTCAAATATCTGCCTTGCTGCCAAATCTCACTAAATTATGTGACAAAAACAGAGGTGATAAAAAAGAGAAGAGAAACAAAATGTGGCTTGGTGGTATGTGTATGTCAGTATGTGTTTCTTCTGTGAATGTGTCCTATGTTGTGTATTTATGAGCATCGTCTGAGACCTGTTCACCTCTCACTAACCTTCCATCTGCTCTGCTCTGGGGGATGGACGTGCAATATTGTCTACACAGTGAAGGACACAGCAGTCAGTAATTTTCCAGCCGCAGCTGCTAATAGGCCCAAACACACATTCGTCTGACACAGAGCTGACAGAATTACTGTCTATGTGAATTAAACTATATATCAGTGCATGAGGGGAGGGTCCAATCTTGTTGGCCACAAACTCATCTGAACTGCTGCAGTGGTGGGGTCCTGGCTGTACAATGATAAAGGAAGGGGTTAAGGAAGCAAGAGGTCTCAGCGACCTCATGCGCTTCCTCTTCAGGAGGAGTTGGACTCTGAGCTGCAGCCAAGAAATCAGGGGAGAAGGGTTTTATTTTATTCACAGTGTTACTGCCTGCCCCAAGTACGGGACTGGGTTACACTGATATAGAGTATGAGGTTATAAAGCTGTAATATCTGTGACAGACACATTCTATCCCACAGCCATGAAGTACAAATCTCCAGAATTACAGAGAATAAAAAAAGCATACATCTTCAGCTATGTGTGAAACATCAGGTCATGTCATGTTCATAAAATATTTTTCAGGAGTTGTTTAGACCACAATGCAGATGTGATGAAAGCAGAGGTGGCGTGAGAGTGTCGGTCATGAGCACCTTGTTTGTGCAGTGTATGAATTGCCCCTCATAGAAAAAATTGCCGGCCATCGAGGCACTGTATAATTGTATGAGTGACTGGGTGAATGGCAATAGCCTGTACTGTACAGCGTGGTCATCAAGCTTAGAAAAGTGCTATATAAATACAGACCATTGACTATTTAAATTGGTAGATTTTTCACTTAGACATTGCTGCTACACTGACCAGTAAATTAATAACCTGGCAGTTCCCTTGACTGCCATTTCAGTTCTTTGAGAAAACTTTGGGTCAGAAAACAAAAGCAGTGTTATGTTCAAAATAATAAATACAGCTGGTTTAATCTTATGTAGAAAGAATCACTAAGATTTCACTACCTACATATGCCCTGTGCTTGGCCCTATTCGACCAGCTTACTGTGCTTGGTGTTTTGCTTAAAGTGGGTAAATATGACATAGAGATGAACTGCAGTTGTTCACATTATGGTTCCTTTGTAGGCTGTTGCTGACAGTTCAAATCCACCATCTCCCTGCTGGTAAGTAAAAGTGATCTTGAGCAGAAGAGGCTAATGGTGTTACAGCCTTTTCAAATCAGCAGTCAGGCAGTCAATGATTGGCAATGCCAGCTCTGGCACAAACATATATTGGCATCACTCTATCAAACCGCAATGTAACAGCAACGTAACCCTGACTGCAACACCAGGAGGAGCAATATCAATCCAACATGTCTGGATTCGGCCTGCTTTGAGAGGGATGACAGCGTCAGACACACTCTCGTCAAGTCTGCCCAGTGATTATAGTTTGCTGAATTAAGAGCTGAGGCTACACGTGTCGTTAAATGTGTTTTGCAGTGGCGTGACAGCGTTTAGACAATGCAAGTGTCTTCTGTGTTGTCAGTGGGAGTAGTGTTGAGCATGCTGTCATGCAGCTGTGAAGAAGCAGTGGACACAGAACAATGTTCAGTAAGTGGTCTATAGTAGCAGCAGATACTGTACAGCAACAATATTGTGAATGAAAAAGCTGCATTTCTACATACTTCGTCAATATATAGACTGAAACCACGAGTCAACCCGTGCTGCACTTAATCAACAAACCTGCTGCTGCTAACAGCAGACACACAAGATGAGATTGTTACTGGAAATTACTGGAAAATGATTTTCATATTTATAAAGATATACAATATCCCTCACTGACGTTTGCAATGTTATGTGACACAGAGACACAGGGAGAATATATGAATATTTGATAATATAATATATATATATATAATATTAAGTGTCCTTCTGAAAATGGCTTCTTCAGATTTGATGTAGAGTGTATATAACTTTGCAGCTCAGAGTGAACCTTTATTGTATTCAATTTTTAAGCAGAACTCAAATATTCCTGGACATGTTACTGTCAGTACACTGGCTCTAGGAGCAGCACATTCATGATGATCAGTATGTGCACGTCCTCAGCAACAATGTAGACGAGTGCAGCACAGAGCTGCAGTGGAGAGCTGACATTCCCCTGTTATCGCTTGCATGGAATGTAATAATCCAGCCCAGGGAAACAGCTCTTTCTGAGGAAGGCTCTCTTGGCAAAAATATGCTCGGCTTTATTCTCACTGTCCATGATGGCCGTCCACTGGACGTAAAACTGCTCTGACTGTCAACAGAAACACATCAGATGAATGGAAAAGATATATAATACTGACTGTTAAAGTGCATATGTGAACCTTTCTCACATTTTGCTGCTTGTTTCCCATTTATTTTATAGAATAAATTGTTTATGCAAATCAAAAGATCTCTTTATTTTGAAAGCATAGGCTGATGTTACTAATATACCACAACCTTTTTAGCACACTATCCCTTAATGATTTATAGATATTTATTTTCTGGCCCCTACAAATGATAACTACCTTCTCTCCAGCTAACTCGCCATCTTTCATTCACCTATGTTTCCGTCTTATACAAGTGGTCCCCTTGTTTACTTAATTACATCAATTAATTCACAATGCACAGGGCAATTATTAGTCCATCCAAACTGAAACAACTGTTTTAAATGTTTAGAGAGAGAAGAGAGACAGAGAGAGACAAATTCTTATTTCTAATAAACCATGTCTCGAACAAATTATATTTACACTAGCCTACTAATACAAACATGAAGCAAGATGGGAAAACTTTTTAAATAAACCTCTCTGCCAAGGTTCAGAGTGCTCTTCCTAAAATGACTTAATTAAGGCTATCCACTTTTGCAAAACAATGTCACAGCAGCTAGAGTATGATTCAACTTCACGAGGAGGAAGCAAAGGATGATGGTCTTCATTTAATATAGGAAACGTTTGTAAGTACTTGAATTCATCTGTTGAAATCTTCTCAGAAACGAGAGAGAAAATATAAGGTTGATTATTGTCTTGTGCCTATGAGATAATAAAAGACCTCAACAACTTTGAAGGAAATAGTGTTTATAATATCTTCTAAACAAGCAAATATCTTAAATGTACAGGGGATAAAAAAAATACAGTGATGTTACTGATTATCCTAATTATCACCTGCATGTGTTGAAGGGACACATAGGAATGAGACTGAGATTAGAGTTCCAAGCTCCCTTTCATGAATCCTGCAAATATAGTGCGACAAAAGGCAACAGAACAGAAAACATGAATAAGTGGGTGAGCAAGTCTGCAGTGTGCAACACGAATGTGAAAGAGGTGTCCCATTGTGCAGTGCTGCAGGCGTTTCTGACAGAAAATGTTCATAAATAGTGCTATATTGGATTTGAAAACGTATTGACAAGTACATCTGAATCTGCATATTTTACGGAGGATTCAATTGTAATATGTTAAGACATTTTCTTTTGTCAACTCCACTGTGATGACATAGGAGCAGCTTCGCTCCTTTATCAGTTATGGAAAGAAACGTTGTTGTTGTTAGTCTGAGAGGATACAACAAATAATACCATCAACACAAAGTGGTCTTTGTTTCTGAGAGAAGGATGGTATATAAGAATCAAATCCTTCCTGATGTTCTTAACCATTAAGTTATTTTCATGCAACATGTTTTCATATGCATCTCTACTGATATGTTTCCAGAATCTGAAATATCCAGCTCGCATGTTTCTATGTCTTGAACAATCCACCTGTGTTTGCATATTCTGAATTTTGAATTACCTCATAATGTTGCCATCATCTGTAAGCAGCCCTTAAACATGACTGAATGCATGTACGCATGTATGTATGTATGCACGTGTATAGTGCCCCTTTTCAGGAAGCCATACATTCATCTGCTTCTGGTGCAAGCAAGGAATATAAAGAGAGAGAAAGTAGACAAAGACCCAGCTCCGTTTATCCAGTTCTGCCTAGTTCTACTTTGCTTAGACTATTTCCAGTACAACAGACAACTCCTGTGTTAATAGCAAAATATGGTTACAATGAGTGTACGGTCTCTTATCCACTTATATCCCAGCCTGTTTCAATGTGAACCAGTGAATGACAGGAGCAGACCTGCCCCATCTGTATATTCTAAATTTAAATATATTACATCTGATCAAAAAACGGGCCAACTAGAATCTGACAACAGCCACAACCCAACTTCTGATGTGTTAATATGGAAAACAAGAGCAAAAAAACCTAGATACAGCACATACAGTATAGAAGCAATAATTGAATAATGTGTTACAGCAATTTCATGAAGCTATTGCCTCTGTCCCTGCAGAGCAAAATCACCCAGGTACAGGCATTAACCTCCTGCGGCTCATGCTTGAGCTGGTTTTACACGTTTTACTTGAAATCTTGTATACTCATACATTCTATGCTGTTTTACCCGTGTGATCTCCAGTCATTATCGATGATGCATGAAGCCCCTCTTGCAAAGAACTGTGGTTTAATTTCACAACATGTAGAAATCCACTGTTTCCTAATGTGGGCTTCAGGCAGTGCATTATGGTTGTATGAGTCAACTTTGGATTTATACTGAAAACGAATCTAAGGCTGTGCACTCAGCTGTGCCTCAGATCTAAAACAGGCCTGCTGATCGTAAAACAAGTTCTTCTTTTCTCTTATTTATTAGAGCAAAGCAAATGTTATGAAACTGCGTTCCTATTTTTTTAGTAACATGTTACATTGTTAGACAAAATGGGGCAAATAGAACATAGGAAAACTGCACAAAGAAAGACACAAGGAGTGTGACATGGCCTTGTAAATATCAATGGGATGAACTTTTTAGATGCATCTGCACTGACAAACCGATCATCACTATAAAAACTGCTGCAAATGATCATCAGCTTATCTTAGCTGTTCATAAATATCATCACATGTTTCGGTTTTGACTTGTACTATATTGTTAGTGTTGCTAGATTCATCAATAATAATACGTTAAGTGTTTTTCAATATGTTTATTGAGATGGTATGAGAAGACAGGGCCATGGTGCAGGCTCTGTACTCGTCTGTTTGAAAGCAGACTCTTGTGACTTCTGGTCTTTGTGATTGGAAAATGTAGGTTTCTAATGTGGCATTCATGGGTTGTGAGCTGTGTTTTCGGATTTCTCATTTTTTGAAATGTGAGTTTTAAAACTGAAATCAGAGGCATTGATGAAGTAAATGAAAAAAGTATAAATAAATAAAAAATACATATGTTTTTGAGTCTTTATATGGAACATTTCATTTATGGTATTTATGATATGTTTTATCTTTTTGAGAAAAACAGCATAGATGACATAAATCACTAGGGTAGAATTCAGAGATTTTAGACTGTCCAGTTTGTTTGTATGATATAATACACAAACAGAAGGATTTTGTAGAATATGTATAAACCAAGTGTAATGGAAGGGAGACAAATCAAAGCTGTGTTGTTATTTCTGATAACATACATATTTGTAAAGGCTGCAGTTTAACGTAAAATTATATCTGGAGAGGAGCTGTAAAGTGTGACCTTTGAACCGCTCAGAGGGGACCTGCCTGTGTGAACATGAGGATGGGGCAAAGACTTTGGTACTCACCCTCAGCTCCTTGAAGAAGATGCAGCTTCGAGCCCACTCCACTATGGAGAAGAGAGTCTGGTCTGCCATGCGGCACATTAGACTGAAGGTGCTGGGCTTGTCCAGCCGGCCCCGACCGCTCTGCTCCTGCTGCAGATGAGCAACAATCTTATTCTGCACCACCAGTTCATCCGGATCACAGCGCAGCAGCTCCAGCACCAGTGGTGGCAGGCTGGGCGGCTGTGGCGAGGCTGAGGGGTACATGTCTGGGTAGGGGTATACTGTCAGAGACTCAGGTGAGCTGGTGTAGTCAGGACACTCAGCTTTAATTGCCCTGCCAGGGAAGGCTGTGTACTGGTACTGGCTAGTGATTGGCATGTGGGACTGCATGGCCATGCCTAAGGATGGGGGTCCGTAGAGGTTGGCCTCGTAGTCTGTCTGGGTGATAGAGCTCGGGGTGGAGGGGAGCAGATTTTTGGAAATGGTGGGCAGCGTGTGTAGGGTGCCGGTGAAGCCATAGTCAGTCTGCAACGGAGAGGCTGGTGGAGGAGCTGGGGTTTCCAGCTTGAACCCATTGGATCGTATCAAAGCCTTCTTCTGTTGCTTCAAGGCCCTGTCTCTCTTGTACATGGGGCCAAATTTATTCCTCCCCCCACGCATGCGGTCTGCTCGCACCGCTGTCACACAAGGGACAAGAGGGAAAAAACAGATTTACTATTAAAACACCAACTCTCCTGAATTCTGCCGCACTGTCATCCCAATAAACTGTGCTCTGACTCTGTACTCAGACTACGAGCTGCATTTTAGCAGCAACTACTCATACAGAGCAAATAACAGACATGTTGGTCATTTTTGCTTCCCTTTTTAGGGCTGAGAAGAATCCCCAGAGTCTGTGCAGCTCCACTCCTTCTTGTAGCCTAAATAGAGCTTTTGATTTAAAACAGGGGAGTCTCCGGGGTTTTATCAGTAAGTCAAGAATGTGTCCTTTTTCTGCTACGGAAGCAGGTGCTTTCCTGCATTGCTGTCTGAGAATTAATCTCATCCCATGTGCATATAAAGAGAGCCACTAACACCCAAAAAATATTCATACAAATTATCAACTTATTAAAAATGTAAATCAGAACAGATAGTTTGTGTTGGTGGAATTATTATTGGAATTATCCGATAAACAATGCAATAATGAATGTGTAGCAATTCCAAGTCTTTACATTTCCCCTCCCAAATAATAACTAATTGACGAATAAATATTGTCTGCAGATTCGGGCTTTCCATTTCAATCCGGGCTGTGCACAGTGACGTTTACCTTCTAGCCGCATCCCGACGTTGAGGCATTTCTGGAAGCGACAGAAAGGACATCTCTTCCTCTGGGTCTTGTCTATTTTACACTCTTGGTTTTCCGCACATGTGTACCTCTTGTTATTCTGCACCGTCCTCTTAAAGAAGCCCTGAAACACGCACAACACAGGGACTTCCGTTTTTAATCATCCAAACTTGTCTCTTCGAAATAAAAGGATATTATTAAATCCGCTGAAGATAAAGTAATTAGTTCTGTATCTTAGGCTGCATATTATAATATATTAATTCATATATGCATGAGTATATAAAAGGGTTTGATATTTTGGAAGATGGAAAATAGAAGTAAAAAGCTTTAGTCTATCGTTTGAATGTTTTTTGTGTGTGTTGGTCTGTTTCTCTGCGTCTTTACCTTGCAGCTCTCACAGGTGAGCAGACCGTAGTGGTATCCAGACACTTTGTCTCCACACACAGGACACATCTCTTCAAGGTCATCATCATATGTGTATTCCATAACCTTCAAAGTCACACCTTCACACCCAAACACACACACACACACACACACACACACGCAGGACAAGGAAGCGCACTGTTGAAACATCCACATCTCTCTACGATTAATGACATCAGAACTTAAAAAAAGCGTCTCCTCCTATATTTTTACAATAGTCTAGTTAGAATAAGATCATTTGATTTGACAGTTTTTCAGATGTCTGACACTTAGAAATAATTAAATACACTTAGAAATAATTCAATTACAACAAACATAACATTTGTATTTAAATGTGTTTTTGTTGTGACCTGCATGTGAAATAAATAATAGTGTTCATTTAATCAGCATGGCCGAATTGTTGTTTCTTCCCATTTTAAGCAATTGAATCTGACATGTATAGAACTATAAGGCTATAAGAACAGAATCTATTTGAAACTACCCCAGTTATTTAATGAAAATGTATTCTGTGCGCATATTTTGAGCTGAACAATATATGTATGATATACGCGATAGCCTATACTGGTTATTTTTGAATATATATATTTTTTACATTATTTATTAAAGCTCAAATATATTTTTTTAATACATGAATTCGAATTTATTGAACGGTTGAACAGATCAGCAAATGATCTTTGTTGATGTTTATATGAAAATATGACTCAAATTGGTGCAAAAGAAGAACTTTCGTTAACGAATGTCGGAAACTCTGGGGCATGATTTGATTGGAAACTTAAAACATGAGTTTGTAAATATCCTATATATTTTTTTCCTCGCTCTTTACTGTTAAGATTAAGCGCCATATATATATATATATATATATATATATATATGTATTTTTTTAAATATCGAGCTAAATGCACCGAAGTGTGATTTTAAGACCCCGCACTTTCTTTACACTGTGAATTTATGACATAATAATATACGAAACAAACTGTTGCTCAAAGTAAAATGTGACCTCTGTGAATTTGATGAATCCGCCTCATCAACATGACTTTTATTTCCCACTGTGTATTTTTCTCATTCGAGGTTTACGTAAATCATCTACCTGCCATGGGACACGAGGCAGCTCCATCACTGAGTGCACAGTCTAATTCATCACAGGCTGTAGCGCTCGGCCCGTTTGACGCAGCAGTGAAACACTGCTCGGCCGCCCTGTGGGATCGAACAGCCGGTTACTTTGCGGCCGTCGAGCCGCCACGTTGAGACAGAAGCAGCTGCGGCGATGAACGGGGACGATGTGAGGAATCAGTGCGAGACGTGGAGGCCGACGTGTCACGCGCCCGGTGAAACGGTGCGGAGGACACGCGGATAGTCGGAGGATGTCAGAGTGTTGAGTTAATAAAAGAAACTACAATAATTCTAATTGTTGTTGTTGTGATTATTATTACGTCACAAAGTGATCCCATGTAATTAACACGACAGTTTGTATTTTGATTATTTTAGTCTCATCCAGTTGCAGAGCTGCACCATCACCAGCAGGTGGCGCTAAAAGACCAGAGATAAAGACAGTGACGCTACAGGAAGTCTCAGTTTGTACTGAGCATGCGCAGATCGTGTGTGTCAGGGTTCAGTTCTTCGAGCAGAATCATGGTGAGTTCACACTTTTTATTTCATGTTTCAGTTTATTAAAGTTTCAGCTGCTGAGGAAAGAATCCCCTGAACTTCATTTACACAAACTGAGATGTGGATTCTCTGGAGCTGATGTCATTCTGACAATGTCGTCATCAAAACTTTATGAAATATGATCATAAACTTTATTATAATGAAGTTTAAATACAGAGACACCAGAAAAAACTGGAATCTTTTACAAACATCAGTTCTGCACCGTTCATACCGTAAAATAAAGGTTTTCATATATTCACTATATCATTTCACTGAAATACTTTTTGATATATTTTATTTTTAAACGTTTTCATGTCAAAAGTATGACTAAAGTACTGCGTATACTGCCGGACTGAACATGTAATGAAGTACTGTCACTGTGTTTTAGTGAACTGACGTCAAACGTCGTTCAGGGAAAAGTTAAATACATTTTGAGAAACTTGTTGAAAATATTAAATTGAAACTTTAAAATAATCAGATTAATTGATTATTATTATTTTCACTCATGAAAAATTGTAAAGTGACGTTAAATCTGAATCCCCCCCCAGGGTCAGAGGTCACGGCTGCTGTTTGGTTTAACACACTGATCCTGTTACAGCTGAATGGACGACCACACACACACACACAC